ACTAGACTTCCTACTCCGAACTACCGTTACTCCTCGTCCTACTACCTAGTCCGTGCCGCGTGTTACACGCGGCACGGAGTCCGCACTAGCGGACATTTAAAAATGGCGGCGCCCGGCGAGATGCAAATGAAGCCCAGGAAATTCAAATCCCGGGCTTCATTTGCAACTCCGGTTGCCTACATAACCACCCTAGTTCGAACTAAGGTGGTAGTGTAGACATACCCTCAGAGGCTACAGCATGAGGGCTGGAGCTGGCTTAAGAGCTGGCGCGGCACGGAGTCCGCACTAGCGGACATTTAAAAATGGCGGCGCCCGGCGAGATGCAAATGAAGCCCAGGAAATTCAAATCCCGGGCTTCATTTGCAACTCCGGTTGCCTACATAACCACCCTAGTTCGAACTAAGGTGGTAGTGTAGACATACCCTCAGAGGCTACAGCATGAGGGCTGGAGCTGGCTTAAGAGCTGGCTCACCATGGGCATCAGCTCCCACCTCCCATACCCTCTTCCCCAGCTCTGACAGAGACAGAAAGTCATTTGGATTAAGCAATAAGCCCAGGCTTATCGGTTAATCGTTTACACGACTATACACCAACATCCCTAGTTAATACATTCCTTTATAAAGGTCTCTGAAAAGGGAAGTTATTTTAAAGGTGTTGAAAGGAGGTCTTAAACAATGTATTAATCCTCTCGAAGTAGAACTTGCTTTATCAGTCAGTGGTCTGGGCAAATTCAGGTTTTTTTTATTTCTACAAGTAAATCAAAATTTGGGAGTGCTTGATCTGGAAACTTGAACTATAAGTTCATCTACCAGCTAGATCAAATCCTAACTCAGCACTCACTCTGCTGAATCACTAATTCATGGATTTGTCACTTTTGAATGGCATCGCCACGTGCGAGTAGATTGTAACCCGGAAGAGCCGGGTTCGGGCGATCTGCGCATGCGCAGAATGATCTGCGCATGTGCAGATCGCCGGACAGCACGGCTGGCGAGCGGGGCTCACCGCAGTTCGGCGAGCCCTGGGCATAGCTGCTCTGTGGCCTCCTGATGTCATTTCACTTTGTTCAGAACGCTGGAATCACGCTTTCACCGATATGTACAAGCACAGTGGAATTACTTGCTCCCTGGAAAACCTCCACTGACATTCCAGTGCTGCTAAAACACACTCTTCTTCAGTGTCCTCCATCAGTTATGCTCTGTTTTGCATTATGTTCTCCCCCAGATAACTCGCTTGCTTGTTCCGCCCTTAGTTTCACATTCCCATTGCTGCTGTGTTGGAGCTGGACTGTCTGCTAAGTACTCCCTCAATCCTCTGGAAAGCTGCTTGCCTCACTGATTCCCATCCTTATGTAGCGCAAAACCAATTTCAAAGCTGCTAACCAGTTTTCCACAACAGAGTTGCAAAGCAACCCTCCTTGTATTTGGGCATTTCTATATCCCAAATGCCTTTTCCCACTTAGACAGGACTAGGCAGCAATTTAAAGACTAACAAGATGGTTTATTAGGTGATGGTTTATCAGGCCCATGAAAGCTCATCACCTAATAAACCATCTTGTTAGTCTTTAAAGTGCTGCATAGTCCTGTTTTTTGTTTCAACTAGACCAGACTAACACGGCTACATCTCTATTACTTTCCCCACTTAGTTATTGCTGGTTTTAGAGGCCTGTGACTAACATCACTTTAAATATTTTTTTAATGCTTATTGGTTAGTAGGGTACAGTTTTAAAGGTGTTAGTGTTAAGATTTTTTTTTTTCTTTGTAATGAATGATCTAGGTTCATTATGTTTCTAGTGAAACAACTTTTGTACATTTTGAGTCCTGTGATAGGGCTCTGAAATATTTTAACCTATTAGTTGTCTAGTGATCCATTGGTGTAAACTTCACTAATCCATGTGGGCATGCTACTTTTGAGTGCATTTCATGTTGCTATCTAAACAAGCATTGATAAGCATAATTCTAACAAACAGTTTAGTATTCTGGTACATGTTCTATACAATCTGAATAATTGCTTTTCAGTTTCATTTCTGCTACTCAAATTATTTTAAACTGTTTTTTGCAAACTCAATAGCTGCAACTGCATGCTTTGTAGTAAGAGCTTCCTAAGGAACAAGTAAATAAAAAAAATATACATTAGGATGGATCCAAGTATGTCCTGCCTGCATAGATGCTGGAACTAGAGGTGCAGGGGGGGCTGCAGCTACAGTTTGGTTCAATGGCTCTCAGCACCCCTGCCTACCTGAGAGGACAAGCACACTTGCTAGGCGTGCACAATGTACCATCCTGTATGAACTAGTTAAAGGGGAAGGGCGCAGGACAGATGATTTATTAATAAAAATCATCAGAAACTGATATAGCCAATGTTGTTTCATCTCAATTTTAGGCAGCTAGGAGCTTGGAAGTATGTGATATTGGGGGCATTTTTTTTTCTGTTCATAATGGTTTCAGTGGATCTGAAAGGCTTATTTTGGATGGTATTAATGATGCATTTTTAAAATATGTGTTCGTTTCCTGTTGTAACTTTAAAAAAAAAACTGAATAAATACTGAATACGTCCCTTGGATGTAGAAAAAATATGAACAAAGGCCACTCTGAATCCACATTTAAACTTCTCTCATTAACTTAGTGTATCATGTTGCAGTCACCAGTTTCTGGTAGCAGAGATTAACGTCATAGCTGCCCCAAATGCATATATGCAGTAAATGTGCAAAATCTCATTAGCAAACATTATGCGATGTGAAACGAAATAGTGATTCTCTACTAAACATGGTGACAAATAAGCATTTAAGGCAGGGGTATGCATTAAGCAGCTCACGGTCTAGATGCAGTTTGCCAGGTGGTAACCCTGATGGGCTACCAGACACTTTATTTAGCTGCATGTCCACAGGTACAGCCACTCGCAGCTCGAGCTGTGGGGAGAGGTGCCCCAGCCTGCACTGCTTCCCACAGTTCTCATTTGCTGGGAATGGCGAACTGCAGCCACCAGGAGCTGGAAGTCACCAGGAACCTGCAGATAAGTTGTCTGATGGCCCACCAGGGGCTGACCCTGGCAAACTGCATCCAGGCCGCTTATATTCCAGTCCTAACTAAAGGTTATTGTAAGCTTTGTTTGCACGGTGCCTAACATAATGATTTTCCAATGCTGATTGGGGCCTTTGAGTTCTGCAAATATAATGTAATTACTGAGAGATTAAATTTCTCTTTCCCGATATTACTTTGTACATTTGACCACAGCATTTCAAGTAGTCCATCTTAATCCAGTATGGGAGTCTCTTTAAATAAATAAAATACATATTTTCACTTTACATGTTTCTTGGGGTTTCTCCCTGCCAGCAGATAGACTGCATACCTTTTTGGTGACCTCACTCCAGTTCTTGATGCCTAGCTGAGCTCAGCTGGTCTCTGGAGAGAGCAGTTTCTTTGATGGCTGGACTGATTCGCTATTATAGACTATTAGCTCTTGTTGGCTAAATGAATTTTGCTTGTCTTTCCCCCTCACTTACTGTAATTATTAAATAGCTATACATTTACTTTTTTTTCCTGACCTTAGCGACATAATAACAAACCTGTAGAAACTTTGTATCATGCAGTCTGTCACCAGGATAAGCCAAGCTGGAACAAAGTCTGTCTTCTCACAGAGTGGAAATAGCCGGGAAGTGACTCCAGTCCTTGTTGCACAAACACAGAGTTCTGGCCCACAGACAAGGTATTAAAAATGACTTACCTCAGTAGCATCTTTTACACCTGGTTCTGCTTCTTGTGTCCTTACGACAATCACAAATTGAGTCTGGTCTATGCATGAACAGATCCAATCAAGAATGATGTTTCAACTCGTACTTGGTAGAATGGCCTTATTGCAATTTGGTATGAAGATCCTGATTTGGCGGCTCTCTCTACAAGATTTTTAATTGCATTTTGCACTGTATTTGAGTTCTATTGGCAAGAGTAGTTCTCTTACTACTTGAGAGAGTGATTTCCCAATATTTATTTCAGTAATATATGTTGATAAACAACTTGTTTAAAATTCATCACTTTAACTTAGTGGTTCCCAAACCAGTGGTCTGTGGCTGCCTTCCAGGTAGTCCATGGCTCGAGCTCAGCCCCCACCTTCTCCCCGCAGCAGGCAGCCCGAGCTGGCACTCCAACCTCTCCTCCTCCCCGTGAGATTGGAGCACCAGCGCCGGCTTCCTGCTGCTGGGGTGGGAAGAAATCCCCGAGTCTTGCTGCGCAATCAGTCTCACTGGGAAGAAGTGCTCCCCCTCCACCAGCTTGGGAAACAGAGGTGCACAGACTCACTGCCTGGAGGCTTCCCCGCTTCTCCCATTTGGCCATATTTCAGTTAATGGGAGCAGCGGTCCCCGTGAGATTGGAGCACCAGCGCCGGCTTCCTGCTGCTGGGGTGGGAAGAAATCCCCGAGTCTTGCTGCGCAATCAGTCTCACTGGGAAGAAGTGCTCCCCCTCCACCAGCTTGGGAAACAGAGGTGCACAGACTCACTGCCTGGAGGCTTCCCCGCTTCTCCCATTTGGCCATATTTCAGTTAATGGGAGCAGCGGGAGGCCATGCTT